AAAAAAAAAAAAAAAAAACTAAAGTGTAGGCTGAGACCTTTGAAGGTCTGAGATCTGAACTTTAAGGCTTTGGCTTGAGGTCCTAGGGTTTGGAACTAGGGTTGAGTGCTGAGTGTTTTCAGGAGTTTAGATTTTAAGCAGCTGTGCGTCGACCTCCTTGCTTTTTGTTTGGGGGGGAAGGGGGGGCTTTCTTGCCAGGTGACCCACAGTGACATACACATGCCAGACAGTCGCTGGAGCTACTTCAGAATTGTCTTTTCTACTTTATCATTTAGTTTTTAGAGTTTGACTCACATCCGATGAAGGCATTATGGAAACATGAAGTTAAACGCGGCTTGTTTTGATTCCTGCAATCTGGTGTCAGGGAGCTAAAATCTCAGAAGCCGCAACCCTACACCCTAAACCGCGATGGTTGTTCTCAGTAGCCTACACAGGACTTCATCACGATAAAGTTGTGTAGCTCCCTGAAAACCCTTCTTGGGTCCGTAAGCGGGGAAAGCCCGTCACTTTTAAGGGTTTAGGTGGCAGGGTTTAGGATTTAGGGTCTGGGATTTAGAGCTTGGGATTCAGGGTCAAGGGCTTAGATGAGCCTAGTGTCTGCGTCCCAAAGCTTCACCACCAGGAAGCCCTAAATCTTCTGTAGGTTTCTCTCCTATCAAGAGAACAACCATATATGTTTCTGTGGCACCCAAATCCCAAATCCAAGACCTCAACCCCCAAGCCCTAAACCCTAAAACATTAAAACCCTTGAACCCTAAAACATTAGAATCCTAATGCCCTGAAACACTAAAACCCTTGAACCCTAAAACATTAGAATCCTAATGCCCTGAAACATTAAAACTCTAAAGCCTTAAAGCGTTAAAACCCTAAAGCCCCAAACCATTAAAACCCTTGAGCCCTAAAAACCTTGAAAGCACCCGTACAAAGCCCGAAGGTCACAGTATTGGCTTCCTCTGTAAGGAGGCAAACAGCCTGTCGGTGACGTTGCGCAACTACAAGCTGACGCAAATTAATGAGGCTTGGGGCTGGGTTTGGGGGGGGCTTAGGGTTTAGGGTTTAGGGTTTAGGGGGGGGTAAAATTAGATCCCCATATACCCCATATTACGGGGATATACAGGGGTTATATGTAGGAATATACAGGGGTTATATTGGGATAATGGGAAATAAAATGGCAACTATTATTCTGTGGGGGAGTAAAGATCAGGGCTTCAGGTTTACAGTTTAAAGGGCTGACGGTTCAGGGTTTAGGTTTCGCATCTCAGCAGTGCCCCATATAGGGGCTATGCATGGGCGAAACAGGGTTATGCAGGGATCTTATCGGGATATACATATACATGCATATGAAACTATAGGGATATTGTTAACATACATAATGTATATGTGTATATATAGGGATATTGCTAACCCAAGTAGATTGTAATCCGGGCTCAGGGGGCATGGTTTAAGGGGAGCATGGTTTAAGGCTTATGGCTCAATGCTCGGGGTTTAGGTGTTCAGGGCTCCAGGTGAGAGTGGTTCGGGCTTTGTGTTCCAGGGATGTTTAGCGTTCCGGGGCGTAGGGCTTCGGGATTCGTGTGCCTTGCACGCTATTCCCACAAAACCAGAATTTCTGCCGGAAGAAGGCGTGAAATAGAGAAACCGAGTTTCGTGGAGGACCACCCTGCAGACCGTCACTATGGGTCTTCCTTGGTCGTGACACTTGGTCTCAAATCTCAAGATCTCCAGGACGTTTTCGGGTTTAGGATTTGGGTTTAGGGTGTAGGGGTTAGGATTTAGGATTTAGGGTTTAGGCCTTTCATATACCCCATGGAGAACTACGGTCCTTCTTGTACCTGTCAGGACTTACCAAAGGGACCCCTCGTTTTGGAAAGCCTGCGTATAGCTGTCATGCAGGGGAAGCAAAGAAGAAGATGGAGTCGCAGAAAATTTGGTAAGAGAGAAGGAGTAGTGATAGTGGTAGTGGTATGGCCCCAAATAGCAGCGTGGCTGCTAGGCTGAACTCATCATCACATGGGTAACGTGAGCATGGGGCTCGGTCTTTTCCACTTGTCTCTCCATGCCTAGGAATGAGTTCCACCACTTTGCCAAGAAACTGGGGACCTTGATGAACCCTGGCGACGACCTGCTGTACCTTTGTCTCAAAACCCCCAAAACCCTAAACGCCTAAACCCCTGAACCCTACATAACTACATGACATGCATTATAGTTCAAAATTTCATGCCTAGTTGTGGCATGAGGTTCGTCTAAAAGACTTCAAAATGATATCGGTAATGATTTAAACTTAGGCACGTACATCCCCCTCTCCCCGTAAACCACGTCATATAAATCCAGTGTCCTTGTCCTTTTTTTTGTTGTCCATTTGATTCTCCATTTTCCTTAAACCTAATCCCAGCACCCTAAACTCCTTTGACCCCTACAATTGTTTAAGCCCGCGTATTACCCCCATGCCTTGGCTTGATGGGGAGAGTTTTGTGCATGGGTAAGGATGGAAATCACGCAGCGCGTGGGCTTGATCGAAACCTTCATCACGAGATGTAACATTGCGATGCTTGCTGCAACAGGGTTCCTACATCTGCCTTTTGAACTGTCTCAAACATCACCCTAGACCCTAAACCCTAAAACTAGAAAACCCTAAACCCTAAGCCCTAAACCCTAAACCCTATAGCCCTAAACCCTAAAACCCTAAAACCCTAAAACCAGAAAACCCCAAACCCCCAACTCAGGATGCACAAGTACAGGCCATTCCTGGCTATCATGGTTAAAGTCAAGGATGCTGGGTCACGGTTACGGGTTCAATGCTTAGGGTTAAGGGTTCAGGGTTTAGGGCTAAGGGTTTAGGGTTTCGGGTTTGGGGTTTTAGGGGCCTGCATGCTTTCTGAGGGTCTAGGACTTGGGGTTTAGATTTTTTGGGGTTTGATGGGTTAAAGGTTTAGGGCTTAATGGGTGTGGTGCACCCTTAAACCTAGCTTAAAACCCTAAGCACCTTGCGTAGATGCAGAACGGTTTTGTTCCAATTCAATGGTGGTTAAGGACGAACTTCAGCAGATTCTCAGCATCTGGCCCGCTTTCAAGACCCAGCAGAAGCTGCAAGAAACTTGCCGGAGGATAGGAGGAAGTGAATTCAATGCAGGTAGTGGCCTGGCAAGGGCTACACATACGGATAAACACATGGAGATTATGTGCGTTTTCCTTTAGGATTCCACTCATACACTGTAGCTTTCAATGCCAGTCAGGAAAAGATAAGAAATGTGAAGCTTCACGTCGACGCCGCGCTGCTGAGACTACTTGGATACTGCTTCTACGTTCTGAAATGTGAGAAAGGGGACTTCGACTTTGTCCCGCAGCAGCAGACTATGGAGCAGATCGTTTTATTGGTTACTGGCATAAGGTCCCTTTGGGAGTATGAATGAGTGTGAAAATTGGGTGGCTGCCTTGAGGAGACCTTAAATATGAAAACCATAGGTTCTAGCAGGAATTTATCAAGATAACAACCCATCAAATCTTTATGAGAGGAACTCTCATAATCCTCACACCACTATTTTCGTAATGTTTTACAGTCCTTATTATTGGGACCCCTAAAATGGTACCCTTAATTATGGGAAACCCCCATATTTCAATGGGATCCCTGTACTTGCCCCCTTGCAGCGGAAGATAGCTCAAGGAAACCATCCCAAGGACCCTCACCGTCCTCTTCTAATGCTTACATATCCCGAGGATCCCCATGTGAACTAGGTTAGGGTTCAGGGTTTAGGGTTCCCTAGGATCCTCGCGTGAGTAGTATTTTCTTTGTTGGTACTATGGTGCCCTCTCATCGACCGACTTGATGTCCGTGAATAATACTATGGTACCCAATATAGAGTAAGAATTATGTCCTCCTTTTGGGTATAGTATTTTATATAAGGAATTTTATCTTACTGGGTTTAGCCACAAAAAAAACACTACTCACGTGAACTCATGGGAACCTTTTCTGTGAGGTCTTCCCCCCCCCACTCTTGGGGATAATGAGGGGCGTGAAAGACAAAACAATGAAGAGTTCAGAATTGTTGTTATGGGGCGGTTTCCAGTTTACGGTTTAGGTTTTTAGCCTAAACTCTAAACTTTCCCTAAGCCACCCTAAGCTCCAAACCGCGTAGGGCTTTCATGAAGACATCTTCAGGACCCGATGGATTGGCACCCCGCCATCCGTGAGAAGCTGTGCTATTGTTGAATACTTTTTGTCTTTCAATAATGTTTGGAGAATCAACAGACTGTCCTCCTACATGCCCCATAGATGTAGGAGGCCAAATGTTTACCAATTCTTTAGTCCCAGATTCCTTGCATAGTTATCTTATATAGGGTACTTCACATACACCTGAGCATGATACTAGGAATTATTTAGGGGTTTTTGGGTTTTGGGTCCACAGTACCATGCCCCAGAAAAGAGAGCGTGCACGACAAGATCATGCACTGGCTTATGCTGCAAGAAAACGTGTTCGACGCGTGCACGATCCGTGGCTGTGCTTGGACCGAGGTTGACCCTAAACCCTAAAAGGTTTAGGGTTTAGGGTTTAGGCTGTTTAGGGTGGTTAGGGTTTCGGGTGTTTAGGGTTTAGGGTTTATAGGGTCCAGACTGCGGAGTGGCAGTTTCGGCTGGAGGCTTTTTGTAATCACATGTGCTTGGTGGATGCTAGCTCGCAGCTTTGTACTCTTGGTGATTGCTGCATATGGATTCCTCTCGTCATTTTAGTCAGCCCCCTTTGCCGTAACAAGTCTCATGTGAATTCTAATGCGAGGTTATTACCAAACCCTAAACCACAAACCCTAGCGTGTAGTTATGTGAGCTTCTCACACTGATCAATGCGGGGCTTTCCCAGATTAAAAGGGGTACCATTCTCGGGGTTCCTGAAAACAAGGTTTATAGTATGTTGGGGTCTATATTGGAGTCCCCTTGCTTGTGGAAACTACCATGTATAGTTTATTTAGTCTATTTCATCCCTAAGCGGGTGAGGTCACCAGGGGTACCCTCCACCTTGAGAAGCCTTTCCCCTCGAGCTGCCAGGAATCACAGCATTGACCGCGATAAGTGGGTCAAAGACCTGATGGCTGTTGGGCACGAGGGGGATGTGCTGCCTCGCGGCTGAAGGGTTTTCCATCAACCTGCTGACTTCTGGGATCCTAAAATCATATAGTCGGTTAAGCTGGCATAGGTTATCACCTTGGGGTTGCTATGGGGCCCTTTAAAGGAGCAATATGGCGTATACATAGAGGGCTTGAGGTTTATGGTTTAGGGTTGTGCAGGGGGAATTTGTCGGGGGTCGTTCTTTGAACCCTGAAGCCTGCAAACTTTGAACTTGGGGCCCCCTAAGCCGTAAAACCAGGATTTAGGGTCTGGGATTTGGGGTTTAGGGTTTGGGCGAGTCCCTATAACTTGAGTCCTAAACCATTAAATCCGCCTAATCCGTGAACTTGTAACTTTATTCGCGAATCCCCAAACTGTAATCCCAAAACCCAATGCAGACCGTATAAGCTCTAAACTCAAAGCTCCAAAACCTCGCAGCCTTAAACCGCCTAAACCCTGAACCCGAAACTCCAAACCCTAAACCCTGAGCCCTAAGCCTTCAATAAACCCTAAACACTAACCCTGAGGCACCAGATGAATGAGGCATGGACTGATCCGGGCTCCATGAGCGAGCCTGTACTCATGATTGGGGATATGAAGGTGGGGGGGAGAGTTTGGGTTTAGGGTTTAGGGTCTGGGGTTTAGGATTGAAGGTTTGGGGTTTAGGGTTTGGGGTTAGGGTTTGGGATTTGGGGTCTAGGTAGGGCTCAGGTTTAGAGTTCAGGGTTCCCCTCGCTCCGATAGAGTACCATTACCTACGGCGGGGGATATTTAATATGATTCTTGCATGACCTAGTGATGCCGAATTCCAATGATTCCTGAAGTGCATAGTGTACTTAGCGTCATGCAGAATTTTTTGAAGCAGCCGTACCACAGTGTTCGGTAAAAAACGAGGCTCGGGATGTTATGATCGAACCCTAAACCCGAACCCCGTTCTACCGGCACGGTGGATGTTTTGAGAACATACCTTTTCGGGGCATAGGTTTTTTGTATCTATAGAACCCTACACAAAATTCCTATATTACACCAGCTTCCATTTCATGTCGCATTGTCTTTTCCATTTACTTCTCCATTATAGGGATATCATATGCCTATTTACCCTTTAAAGGGACCTAGGGTTTCCATTTCATGTTCCATTTTCTTTTCCTATTTGATTCTCGATTATAGGGTTCGGGCCATGTGAGACCCCATCAACTAGCTTGGCACAGGTCCGTTCACGGGAGCACTGATGTAGACAAGTTTCCAACGATTTTTGGCTTGGGGGTGGAACTGCGTAGGTGCAAGGTGGCTAACAATGCCCCGAACCTAAATCCCTAAATCTTGAACCCTAAACCCTGAATCCTAGACTTTTAAATCCTAAACCCTAAACAGTCCAGTGGAACAGGTTCGAAGCAGCTTAAGGCAGCTTTAGGCATTCTCCAGCACGATAGATCCAAAGGTTTTTTTGGGTCCCTGGTATAAAATGGCCCGTAAAATTCTGAAATTTTTGGGGTACCTAGACAAGAACGATGTGTCATTCCTCAATGTCCATGACTTCATGAAAAGGGTGACGAAAGCGGCCTGCCTTCGAATATCTTCGCTGCGGAAACTGACATGACCCCCGACTCCCGACGCGAAGCTATTCAGCTCTGGCTGACACTGGTGCGGGAGGCTGGGTTTAGAGTCTAGGGTTTAGGGTTTAGGGCTTGGAGTTTAGGGTTTAGACTTTAGGGTTTCGGGTTTAGGGTCTAGCTGGTTGGTAGTAGGAAATGAAAGCATAGCTTCCCATTGGGTCTACCAGTTCAATTAGGCGGGGAAAGCCCAGGTTATGACCAGGCAATATCCTGTTACTTTTATTCCTGAACAGCTACAAGACTGTGACAGTCATAAGTAACATCAGTGTCTGGCAATCTAACTGCCTTGGCTTGGCGGAACGAATAGTAATTTGGAGCATTGCAGTCCATCAAGTATGTCAGGCAAAAAGAGCAAAGCTACGTCCATTTGTATCTTTTCGTATATGTATGTTATGCATGCGCGCATGCATGCACACGGCGTGAATGCATACGCCCCTTTACATTTTTTGCCATACCTGCATGTACAATGTACACTCCCGATTTAACCCAACCCCACACCTCAAGCCCACAATCCTATTATCCCAAACCTCAAGCCCAAAGCTTAAAACACTTGACCCCCCCAGACACAACTGCTAAACCCTCAGAAGAGGCAGTGGGGTTCGCAATTGGAGCACAGATGATGGCGCCCTGACTGGTTCAAGTAACAGTTTCAGGTTTCTAGGGTTCTATGGCGTGTCCATGGGGCTTTCTTGGAGTATATAGGGATTATGAAGGGTCATACATGCATTATAGAGGGGTCATATAGTGTTTATATGGGTGATATTTTTTGGCTTTTCCCCTTCTATAAGTGGAGGGCTCATACGGTTTGTGGATGCTGCTGGGCTCATAAGCTTCTAGGATGGAGGTTTGCTAGGGTGCAGGAGAGGTCCCCGCCACACAAGACCATTTGGCGGACATAGCGCCCCATAATTCGAGTACAACCCTGCAGAATTCGTTGGTCTAGAGGCTCTAGAATCTCGCTCTTTCTCCCTGTCTCTCGATCTCTCTCTCTCTCTCTCTCTGGCGTCCCACCCTACTACTACCCTGACACGATCAGTTTGGGCTTCTCTTCAACCCTAAACATAAAGCCCTAAACAAAACAACACACCCTTAACCTCCAAAAAGAATCAACCTGAACCCCAAACCCTAAACCCCAAATCCTAAAACCTAAACCCTACACCCCAAGCCCCAAATCCTAAAACCTAAACCCTACACCCCAAACCCCAAATCCTAACACCTAAACCCTACATCCCCAAACCCCAAATCCTAAACCCTATTTCCCAAACCCCAAATCCTAAAATCTAAACCCTACACCCCAAAACCCCAAATCCTAAAACCTAAACCCTACACCCTAAAGCCTTCAGCTTAAGCCCAGGACAAAGCTTACACTCTCAGCTGCTTGGGGGGAGAGATGCTCCTCAACTGAACCAGAAGAAGGGTTTAGCGATTAGGGTTCAGGGTTTCAGGGTGAAGGGTTTATAAGTTTTAGGGTTTAGGGTTCAGGGTTTAGGCAGCTTAGAGGGTTGGGATTTACGGGGCCTACCTTCCCCAAGAGCACAGTTTGAGGGGATTTTAGTCTTCAATGAGCAATTTCTGGTCCATATCAGTTTGGGGAGTGTAGACTTTGTTCGTGAGCGTTCTCTAAATCTTCATGACACAACTGTTGCCAGGGCTTCAGCAGAGACATTCTGACACTTACCCTGATTTGATGGGGCTTCATGCGGTGTCCTCATCGTTAGCATCCTGCTCAAAGGGACCGTTGCGTAACAAGCCATAACTTTGAAAATCCCAGCCCCACACGAGCCCGAAAATCTGGACACTTAGCCCAACACCCTAAACCCGAAACCTCATAAAACCCTAAACCCCAGCCCCTCGCCCTCCACATGTCCGCTGCACACTGAGGCTGATAGCGAAGAAGACGTCCAAGGTTGAGAGTTCAGGGTTTAGGGGTTTAGGATTTACAGGGCTTAAAGACGGTTTTGGGTTTTGGGCTTAGTGTTCTTCACCTCGCATCTACATTGAGCATGAATGAGAAATTGTACCAGTGCGGTTTTGCCGATCTTCCGCAATCAGGACTTGGCGTTGAGCACGCTGAAATTCGTGCGGAACCGACTGGCAGAGGTCACCAACACCATGATGGTCGCAAGCCAAGAAGTTCTTTCAAAATGCCCTGAAGCCTAACCACTATGGGCTATTAGACCTTTAGGGTACCTTAATCTACCCCTGATAGGGTTCTAATAGGGAATTTGAGGGTCTAATAGCCCATGGTGGAAACTCTATTAAAGCATTAAAGGGTTTAGGTTTAAGCGGAGCATCCAATGGAAAAGAAGGTGGAACATGAAATGGAAGCTGGATGTACACAGGCGCTGAAACCCGGTTAAAACCCCGACGCTTGCATGCCGCCTTCGTCTGCGCTCCCTAAGGCTCTTGATCGGATCATGCTGCCGGTGCTTGCAAAGGGGAAAATGAAGAACTCAGAAGCTCTGTAAACTTGAAAGTACAGGTATTTTGTTTGGCTTCTGTTTTGAACGTCTTCTTTGAAGAAGGTCTTCATGTATTTGCCCGAATCTAGGAGAATTATCTCTGGAACAACATCGCCTTCGTGAACTGGTCCAAGAACTACGAGTATGCCAAGACTCACTGTGCCCCCGGCATCATCACGCACGCGCACGAAGGCTGGACAGCGGTTTAGGCCTTAGGGTTCAGCGTTTAGGGCAAATACGGCTCCTTTCACTGAAGAGCCCAAGATTGTGTTTCAACATCTAGGACCTGAAGTCTGAGTCCTGAACCCGCAGCCTTCAAACCCAAACCTAGGCCCTATGCCCTCCACCCCAAACTCCACATGCCAAACCCTAGACCCTATAAATCATACACCCTAAACCCTACAGCCCAAACCCTAGACCCCATAAATCATACCCTGAACGCTACATCCAAAAGCCTATACCCCACAAGTCATGCACCCTAAGCCCTAAACTCGACATCCAAAAGCGCTATGCCCTTTAAACTATACACCCTAAGCCCTAAACTCTACATCCAAAACCCTTTAACCTATAAACTATAAACCCTAAGCCCTCCCTGCAGAGGCCGGCAGACCATCGTAGAGCTTGAGACAGAGATCACTGATCTGGACATTGCCCAGGTCGAAAAGAAGCTCTAGCTGGACAAATAAAGTCAGCCATAGTCTAAACTCCTTAAAGGGGGTTATATAGGGAATTATATAGGGGACTACTATAGGGGATATTAAGGGGGATACTAGGAGTTTAGACAGTAGCTCAAGTGGATGTTATAGGGTGGGGTAGGCGTTTAGGTTTAATTCCGCTTTAGGGTTCGGGGTTTGTTGGGAGTATGGGAATCTGTTATAGAGGGATTGCATCGGGATTCTATTCCCGTACTCCCTACTAACAACCAGAAGGTAAATTGAAATCACCATAAAACGGATATGTGTTTGGTTTCCTTATGCCTGCAAGGGCATTCTATCGTGAAAGCTCCTGCTTTACTTTTTCAAGGGTGGTCGGGTTCTCAGGGCAGATTATAACGACTTCACCCTAAACCCCAAACCCTAAACCTCACCTTCAATGATGGTTTGTATACAAAGCAGTCTTAGGTTGGCCTCATTTCAGATTCTGCCATTGGTTCTTAGGATTTAGGGTTTGGGCTCAGGGTTTAGGGTTCAGGGTTCTTGGAAGTCCAGTCTATGTTTACTGAGTTGCGCTTGAGAACTTGCAAGTTGCCTTGAAATGGGCAGTAGGAGTGATATTGGGTTAAGTTGCCAGAGCGAGGGACGTCTGGTATATTATAGGTATACGGATGATATAGGGGGTTACATAGGGATTATATAGGGTTTACTTGGGTTCCTGATTATGCTAACTTAGCTTGTGCCTAATTTCGATTTCCTCAACAGCAACTCAGACTGGATTGTTTGAGTTGGGAAGGGGTTCAAGAGCGATTGCTCCCGGCGAAGGTTTAGGAGCTACCTGGCGCCCCAAAGCATGCAGAATAATGGAATTCATGACAATGTAAAAGGGTTTTGGGCTTTACTTTAACCGGGGTCTAGGGTCCAGATAAGATTCATCTTCCAGATTTTAGCGAATGGTTGCTTGAACTCAATGAGAGTGTGCCCTTTGCTGTTGAGTGTCGAGTTCAAGCATCACCCAGCTAAACGGGGAAGATGAGCTGACATGGTTTGCAAGATTAAGCAAGCTCAGCGGCGGTGAATGGACCAACAGGGGCGTGTCTTTGTGGTTCCAAGCTGAGGAAGATTGGCGATGTGGGAAAGTCACTAATCTCTTTGTGCCAGAACCTTTTGCATACTTTGACAGCAACATTTTTCATGGTCTTGCTTCATGATGTGGGCTGCACCAACCCCTCTACCAATGACCCCATAACTAGCATATGATTTTTATAGGGTCCCAAATTTAGGTAGGGATTGTCCGGGGTTACTAAAATCACCTTATTACTTTGAAGTAAAAAGTTGTGAGATAATTTGCACAACATGCTACTGGGCAGCTAAGGAACTCCTGTCAGCTTTTTAATGAGCCTCACTCGCTCGGCGTGCCCTGGGCCAATCATATGCTCAAGGACTGCTTATGGGCCGTGAAATAGCCGGACAATCAAGCTAGTCAGGCAGTGGCGGAATTCTAGGCTGTGACCCCCTCCAAGACTTTGATCGCTATGGAACATAGCTATACACGAAGGACCCAGAGCCCTTTTAGATCTCAGCGGCCCATCATTTTTTTATCTTGGAACGTACCTCGAGCTTCCGATGAGTTTTCCATTCAAATGAGCTGTTGCATTTGGCTGCCAGGGCTTTAGAGTCAATATGCGAAGAATTGCAGGCGTAGGCATTACGGGTCTCAGGGTCTCTGAATTTTGGGTAGCTGAGATTGTCAGGCCCAAAGAAGGCTTAAGGACAAGTTCCAAAATCCAAGAGGCGATTCAGAAAGCCAGTTTAGGGTTTAGGGTTTAGAGCTTAAATCTCATTGGTCCAAAGGCCTGAGACTGTAAAAACGACTAAACCCTAAACCCTAAACCCTAAAAAGGATCCTTAGCCTTACCCGCCTGCGGTCCAAGGGAGTAGAAGAGCTGCCAGCCATCGAAATCAACGAAGACTCCACGCCTGCAAAAACAGCAGAGCCGCCCCGGGCGCTACAGGACTCTTCCGTGGTCCCATTACATTTTCCAAAAGGTTATAGGGTTTAGGGATGAGGGTCTGGTTTGCTCATTCCTCAACATGTGAGACTTCCTTGGAAGGGGCGACTTCTGGATTGTGGGGGCTCCTTGTGGAGGATTGTTTCGAGCTCAGCTGAAGACACCCCAGGAGTTTAGGGCTTAGGGAGTAGGGGTGTCTTAAGAGTTGGCTTCTATCATTCTACAACTCCATCATTCTACAAAATCCCTACCGAACCAGGGGCATTGGCTTTTGACACGCAATTCGTTGTACCTTGTGAAACCTTGCCAAGCATGAAGGTAAGCTTAAATCCTGAACCCCAAACCCCAAATCCCTGAGCCTTACTTGAATCCTAAACCATAAACCCAGAGGGGCCCACAACCCGAGCCTTATGACACCCAGGTGCGTAGTGGGTGGGGGGACGGCTAGGGCCCAGGGTTTCGGGTGAGGACTACTATTAGGCGTAAGATAGGGACCAAAATGCCTGCCGAGCGAATTGAGCAGAAACTTCTGCTCCATGCTTTTTCGGGGTGATCAAGTGTTCCTTCGTAATGTAAACGAGCGCGAAATTCAAATATTGCCAGGCGCAAACGAGCAGAAAACCGAAGCGCGACTTGAGTGCAAATGACAAGACCGTACGTTTGCGAAACAGAACTGAAACGCGCACTTTTGAAATTGAGCGGTAGTGCAAGCAGGCAACGTGAACAACGTTTACTGCACAAATTTCTGTGCCGAATGGTTCTTCAGGTAGAGGCCCCTTCCTCAATATAACCCCAATAAACCCCAATGTAACCCCAATAAACCCCAATATAACGTAGAAAAACCCCAATATAACCCCCATTCCCCCTTCACAGCAGTCGGTACATGTCGTAAGCCCTCCATTCCAAAGACCCCATGCCCAAGCCCTGAGCCTTGTTACCTTGATTGAAGTTATACCCGGAGCCGCTAGTGGCGAGCATCGGGAAGTCCAGCCTAGGGTTTAGGGTTTAGGGATTAGGGTTTGAGGCCTAGGGTCTATGGTTTTCGATTTAGGGTGTAGGGTTTAGGCTGCATGGTGTTTGCAGAGCACTAGGACCTGGACAAGCAGCTGAATGCGGAGAGTGGCGTGATTGAGTCCGGTGGATGCTCGGCCAGACAGCAGCAGTATGCGCAGGGTTACCTGAGGTTATGGTTTTCAGTAAGTGTATGTAGGGTTCCTCAGGTCATAAACCCTAAACCCTAAACTGCGGAGGGATTTGTGCTGAAGATGTGCCCCTCGGGGTACATAGCATGCTTCTGCTTGTCCCTGTTACACGGGATTTACAGTTAAGGACAAAAGTACCAGGGAGTGAGGATTTGGGGCAAGTGGAAGGTACTGGAACGGAATATGCTGCCCATGATACTAAGAAGATGCATATTCCTGTCAACAGCCTTTTGGATGGCAATAGGTGTGCGAGCATCTCCATGGGCTGCATAGTTACTGGTTTGCAATTGCTACTATTGCTCCAGTACCCCTAGGAAAAGCTACTTGTGTGGCCAGCTGTCAAACAGTGAGTCCCATTCTCATAATCACCCCCCCAACTATTACGTGCCGAAGTACGGGTACTGCCCAGAGACGCCCATGGCTTCGACAATACTTCTTTGGGGGGTGGTTCTAGAGTTCCGTTGGGTTTAAGATTTACGATTTAGGGCCTAGGACCAAATAGGGCAAACATGAAACCTGCCTAATGGCTGTTTTGGGGGCAGATATTTTGAACAGCTGCCATATACCCTCTCTTGCATCCTGGATTCCAAGCCCCAACCCTAGACCCTAAACACCAAATCCTAAACCCTAAATCCTATACCCAACGTACCTCATAAATGTCAAATCCTGAAAACCCAACCGTAAACCCTAAACCCTAAACCCTTAGCCCTTGCCTAAACCAGCGCATAGGCTCCCTGCGCAGCGTTGGGTATTTGTCTTCAAGTGGCCGGCTCGAATAGTAGGGTTTGAGGGTTTACCAGGACTGGGGATTTACGGTTTAGGGTTTTGAAGGTTGGGGTTTGGGATTTATGGATTAGGGTTCAGGATTTAGGGCTTAGGGTTTAGGGGGTTTATGGTTCTATATTTGGTAACATGTAGTAGAATTTTCAAGAGGAGGAGCAGCAGCAGTAGCAGTTTCTTGTGACATTGCGGCGTCACAACAACTCCTATGTCTAGTACCCCCCATGATCCGCTCAGGTTTTTGTTGGGTCTAAGGTTTAGGGTTTAGGATGTAGTAGTTTAGGGTTTAGGGTTTAGGATTTAAGCCCTAAACCCTAGTAGTTTAGGGTTTAGGGTTTAGGATTTATGGTTCCTGAGGCCGCCTCCTGCATGTTAAGGACCCTGAAAGCATCCTGTCCTTTCGTCCAACAAGGGGGTTTTGGCAACCCTAACTCAGGTAGCCACAGCCGTATATAAGTCCTATGAGAGTGTTAGGGCCATAGGGTTCTCGTTTGGGAGGGGGTTGGGGTTGCCAAAATTTCTTTACTATAGTTGATAGAGGAAATCTTGCACCAGTTTAAATCCCCAAAACCCCAGGAACTACATTCGTTTAGGGGCCAGGGGCCCTATTTTGGGGGGGTTGGGTTTAAACAGTCCCTGATCATCATAGCTTCCCTAAACCCTCCGCCCTAAACCCCCTAAACCCTAACCCTCAACCCTCAGCCCTAAACCCTAAACCCTCAACCCTAAACCCTAAACCCCACAGTTTTCGGTTATAAAACCGAGGCCCTAAACCCTAAACCCCTCAACCCTAAGCCCCTGCAGCCTCGAGGTGGCTGGATAGCAGCAACTGCGTTCGGGGCTGCGGGCTCTGGGCCTGAGTTTGCCAAGTTCATCATCAAGGCCCTCAGAGGTTTCAATAAAATCAAGGGGTTATTATAACCGACAGATCTATAAAACATGTGTGTGTATATATATAGATGTATATTTATATATATATATATATGAGCTATAGTCTAAGGGTGGTTATATAGGGGATTATTTTAGGGGAGTATCGTAGGGCTTATTAAGGAGGATGCTAGGAGTTAAGACTATAGCTCACATATATATATATACATATATATATAGGTAGATATATAGAATCTAGGGATCCATGCTAGGTTGTTCAAGGGGGCAAAAGAAGTTCTGAGCTGACCAGGTTACCTTGGAGAGGGAAGCAGTATTTGTCCCACAGCTGCCTCCGCCTCTTCCTGTGCCGGCAAAGACAAGGGCTCCTGCGTACTCGCCAGCGTATTCGCCGGCATACTCACCGGCATACTCACCAGCATACTCGCCCGGCTTCGCTAAAGCGACACCTGCTGCCATGTCCACCACCAATGCACTGCCAACTGCTCCTTCAGAGCCCGACACAAAAGTCGTGGAGTTCTGGAAGAGGATGCGCTTTGAGGACATCGCCGAGGCTAGGGTACAGTCAGGTCTGGGGGATGGGGGATACATTGAGGGGATTACCTAAGAGTGACAGGTTAAGAGCGGCAGTTGCTCTGTAACTGCAACCGGATTTCTGCATGGGGCTTCCATGCAGAAGCTGTTCTAACCTCAGTGTGGGTCCTCCTAAAGGGAGCTCCGAAGAACGTCGTGGAAAAGTAGAAATAACATGTAAATCACAACAGGATTGTGGTGGATCCTTGTTTAAGTCACCCTGGAAGCATGTCCATAAACTTCCGTTCATCTTTGTGCAGAGTATCGGCTTTCCTGGCCGGTGCTGATTGGAAGAGCGGAGGAGTGAGTATAGGTAGTGTGACAGGGTTCGATACGGGGAGTACATGATGCCAGTTCTAGATCCACTCTCTTCTTCTCCCTCAAGCAGCAGAAAGTCTGGAAAGAATACCAAAGCAGCAGGCGTGGTGAGAATACTCAGAAGCCGCGTGAAAATGGCACTTTGTAGTTTCCGCCTGATCCCTGTAGAGGAGTGGCTGAGGGGGACTTCTGCTTTAGGTTTAGCGTTGCAGGGGCTCCAAAGGTGGTGAGAAGTTGGTGATAGCTTTTTTTTCAGGGTTTTATGTAGTCCTCTTCTGAGAGCATTTCTCAAAGCAATCCCTCTACAGTCCTCGGTAGGGACCCCGGTAATCCTATGTAGCTCTTGGCGTCCCTAAATTACTAAAGCCACCCCATTTTGAGAAACTCGCATGGTCCAATGGCAAGCATAGATACTGCAAGATCAAGGATCTAGGACTCTGGATTCCACGATTTAGGGTTTGTATGGCTTAGGGTTTAGAGCTTTGGATTAATGATTTCGACTCAACGCTAAACCCTAAAACCCTAAATCCCTAAACCTTAAACCCTTAGTTTAGACGCATCGATTCCATATTGCCTGTCCCCAGGTGGTACACCTGACGAGTCAGGGCGAGCCGGTACTGAGTGCCTTCTTCGTGGAATGGAAAAGCAAATCGAAACTACTGTTTAGGGTTTAGGATTCAGGGTTTCAGGGTTTAGGGTTTAGGGTTTGAGGTTTAGGGTTTAGGATTCAGGGTTTTAGGGTTTAGGGTTTGGGGTTGAGGTTTAGGGTATCCCCTA